CCAGTAGGTGAGCTCTTCTGTTCCCTGAAGGGCACGTGGGAATGAATTGTGGAGGTGAGGCTCCTGGGAGCTCCATCATTAGCCCTTCTCAAAGCTGACAGGGCTGTGTACCATGTGATTCAATCTATGGCTGAGTTTGGAGAAGAATGAGGGTTGGCAGGCTTCCCTGCTGCAAATGTAAAAAATGCCAGAAGAGGAAGAATTTGAGGGATGTGATGTGCCTGGAAACTTGCAGAGTTTTTGCCTGAATCTGTGTGACAGTGAACTGCTGCACAAGTGCCAGTGAGTACTGAGAACAGTTCTCTTGGTCCTTTGGAAGCTGAGGGAGCTTTTCAGTATGTGTCCTTGGGTTTGGGTGTGCAGGAATTCATGGACTTCTCTCCTGCATCATCATCATTAGCAGGACTACATGTGCAGTCCTCCCTCCATAGTACATGAGCAGTATCTAGGCATGGTTCTTCAGCTGCAAAGAGCAGATTTCTGCTTCAGGTCCTTATCATAAAATCCCAGAATGGCTTGGGTTGGAAAGGACCTTAAAGCCCAACAGTTCTAACCCCCTGCCATGGGCAGGGCTGCCACTCGCCAGCTCAGGCTGCCCAGGACCCCATCCAACCTGTCTTGAGCACCACTGCCTCACCAGTCTCTGACTAAAGACTTTCCTCCTAATGAGTAGATGCTGCACTTGCATGCTTAAGCAGAACTGTGTATGATGCATTTTATGGCTCTTGCATTATAACCAAGTTTAGAGCTGAGCCTGCTGAGAGTGAAAAGCATGTATGTGCCATCTTTAACGACTGGCACTTTGCCTGGGTGCCCTAGAGTTTGAATCCTTGTGTTAGCAGCTGTGGATCCTATTCAGACCTCCTTGGATACCATATAAGCAGAAGCCTGTGAAATGTGTGTTTGGTTGCTTGAAAAGGAGATGGTATCTCCATGTAGCCTCTCTTCCTGATATTTGATGCTACTAGCTAGAAATGGTTCTTTCTGTATTTTATCTCCTGTGTACCTTTGATTTAGACAAACTACAAGAGAGCAAGTGAAGAAACGATTCCCTATTTTCCCTGTTAACTCACAGTGAGAGAGGAAACCAGAGATGAGGACAAATTCATGCCTGAGGTGCACCCTGGCACAGTGTGTGTAGGCCAGCATGCTCTGAGATTCCTGAAGGGTGGGCTTTGGTTGTACCCAAAGGTACAAAGGTACCCAAAGGAAGTGCGTAGGCCTCCTAGGGGGTGTAGTGTGTTTTATAGGCTCACTAAAGCATGCTACTTGTTTAATAATGTAATTAAGGAGTATCATTTAGGGCTATCGACTTCATTGCTTTTTTTAGTGAGTAAGTGAGTGTGTTTGAAAGTCAGTTTTCTGTTTCAGTCTTAGTCCTGATAACATGACAGCTTGAGATAACCGGCACTCTCTGGTCTGACTTCAGGCTGGAGAAGTCAGCACTCCTATGGAAGGACCCAAACGTGAGTCTCTGTTTCACTTCAGGGCTGTCCATTTGAGCAGAGAAGAAAAAAACTTTTCCCGTAGGCAGAAATGAAGAAAAGGAGCTTTGTCTGGCAGAAACAGTAATGCTGTGAGAGCTGCAGCCTGCGGCTCACTTGGGCTGAGGCCAAATATCACTTGCTAAAAGCCATCCAAAATCCACCACGCGCCCGGATGCAGGAACCCTCCTCTGTTTGCTTACCGTGGGGAAGATGTCTGTAGGTGTTTTGTATTCCCCTAAAGCACCTGGCTTATAAGCGGGAGTAAATGTCCCAACAGATTGGCAGAGAAACTCCGTGGAGCTGCAGCCCTCTCCCTGCAAACATGAGCCCTGGTGTTTTGCTTGTTTGTAAAGTATTCTGGGAGAAAGGGAAGATAAGGCTGTATCTGTCCTAATGGCTTTTTACAGAGATTCAAATCCCAACTAAACACATATTTTTGCTATATAGAGAGAACTATTTATTAATTCAAATACGCTCCTTATACAAATGTCTGTAACTAGTACTGTCGCTGGCAGTGGGGTGTGTGAGGGTATAGAATCATAGAATCATCATTAAGGTTGGAAAGACCAATAAGATCATCTAGTCCAACCATCAGCCCATTCCTATGACTGGTCTAGATCATGTCCTAAACTGCCACATCCACTCATTTCATGAACATCTCCAGGGATGGTGACTCCACCACCTCCCTGGGCAGCCTGTGCCACTGCAGCACCAATAGCGGGGTGGCCAGGAGCTGCAACAGAGCTGTATTTTATTAAAAAAGAAAGCCATTGCCAACAACAACAACAACAACAAAACAACAAAGTCCACATTTTTGAAGCAAGTACTCTTTTTTTCTTTTTTTAAAGATAAACTCTGTTGGGGAAAGATGCCAAACTGAAAGCCACAGACAAAGAATTCCTTTCTTTTTCAACCAAATAGATATTGAATTTCTGGCAGTCTTCTCAGCTTCCTCTCTAATTTGCCCTTTCCTCCTCTGGAGTGTGATCACCGCAGAGGTAATTGCTGCAATATCAGTATGGAGGGCTGTTCTGTGGATGTTCTACTCTGGAAGTTGCTGCTGACCACTGTGGTGTATGTGGAAATGGTGGGAGGGAGGGAGGATGTGCCTTGAGAAGGCAGAAAGGAACAGTTTAAGTGTGGGTGGGAACTGTGAGGAGGCTGATGTCTCACTGCTCCCTCAAAAGCTGTAAGCTGTTGCCCAAATGCCTTTTTGAAACCTTTAATCAAATGGAGTTGCTTTCAATAGACTACTGTTTTCTTAAGGGGAAAAAAAAAAAGGCAGGCTTCATGTGTTCGCTGTGGTAGAGATGTGTGTAACGTACAAAATATTCCTGTATCTCAAGCAGTATTTTCTCTAATCGTTAAGAAGTCCAGACCCTAAAGCTGTATCTCTTAGTGGAATCCAGCAGCCGTGTGATCTGGCCTGTCACACTCTTTAGGACTTCTGTGTTCAAAGTTACATCGCAGACTTTAAAAATAAGATGGAACCACAACAACAAAATTAGAGAACCATTTTAAGAATAGATAGAGCATTTATTTGCTGTCAGAAGGCTCTGCTGTAAATGTACTCCATTTCTTCCATGCAGATTGCTGCTTGTCAGCTTTGCAGATGCAGCAGAAAAACAGAAAGCATGCATGTTGAGGAACGTGTTGGACTGCCTTCCCTGCCCCAAAGCCCTCTTTCTGTCTGGTTTTGAGAAGCTGAACCTTTATTTCCTTTGCTGCTGTTCCTGAAGTGGTATTAGGAAAATTCCCCATTTAAAAGGAAAGTAATCTAACTTTAATTCTTCCATTTGCTGAAAGTTATTTACACAGCAGTTGATACAAATTTCTTCCATATTGAAACAGTATTATGCAGGAATCTTTGTGTGAATTTGCTAAAGATAGCTATGTAGCCCGTGATCGTTTGGTTTTTCAGCTTTGTCTTGAAACCAGTGTACAAATACTGAAGCAGTCATGTTGTATCTTGTGCTAATAGGGAAGAGTGGTTTATACATTTAGCTGCTGGGAAGCAGCTCTAGTTGTGAGAGCTACTGATTTCTTGGGTATTGAAACTAAAACAAGGTTTTCGAAGGTGGTCATGCCCCCCTTGCTGAGTCATTCCAGAGTTAGTTCAGTTGTTTTATCATTCACAGCAAGTTAATATGAAACTACAAATCCATTTTGCCATTTGTAAACACTTTATTTTAGCTAGCTTGCTGTTTGAGCATAGTTAACTGTGTTCCTCTGTGTATAGCCTTACGTTCAGTAAATATTTTCTTTAGTGCCTGTCAGAATTGACTGAAGGCTTATGAATTTTGAAAGAAGTCCCGGTTAGTACCGGTGAACATGAGGAGGAGGGGCTGTGTCTCTTTAGGTGCTTGGTGGGCTGTGTGAGACCCACCCGAGCTCGCATATTCTAGCACCAGGCTTTGAGGCCACAAGTGTTGTACAGGGCATGCGAGGAGTGTAAGCACACTGCTTCTCTTGTGGAATCATACAGTATGGACTAGTTCTTGATTCTTCCCTACAGGAAGCCAGATCTTGAATTTCTGTGTTTGTTTCTGCAGGAGAGAGCAAGATGAAGGGCAAGATCAGTGCTGCCTGCAAAAACAGAGCAAATCAAGCAGACTTAGAGTTTCGTAGGACCAGGCCCCAGTTGACAAAGACTCCTATATGAGATGGTAGATAATGCCTGATTGTTTAGAAAGGCTCATTATGATTCATTGCACAAATATTTTTGTACCAAAATAGATTTATCTGTGTCTAAAACAAGGAGGAATGGTTTCTTGCAGTACAGTTTCTTCTGTAGTCTTCTGATACTTGAAATGAAAACAAGAAGAGCTGCAGTCTCTTTAGATATTGCTGGGAACTGCACTGGGTTCTCTAGGAAGTAGATTGGGAGATTTGGTTTCTGCTTGTTTTGAATAAGAAACAAGCACAAAGTTTATCCTAGTACATGCAGTCATAGAATGCATTGCTATTGTAATAGGTAAAGTAGTAACTAGCAGTGGCTGCCAGGAGCTCCAGTTGTAGGGCCCAGAAGCTGAATTTTGCTGGAATGCCGTGTCTGGAATAGATGTATAAATTACCCAGGAATTCCACTGTATAGAAAACGAATTGCCTGGGACATGCGGACTCTTTTTGCTGGATTGTGCTGTATGTCTGTGCAACTAGAATTGTCATATGTGGTGGCAGACAATATGAGCCTGAGTTGCTTCCTTTCTCTTCTCTGTGCTTCAGTGACCACCCAAGTGTTCTATTCCACACAAGGCACATCCTAACAATAAATCCTGCAGGATGCGTAGGGAGTACCTCTAGGGAAAGAAAGGAGGCTGCCTCAGGACATGGCTGCTGTGCTTCTGTTTTCTGTTTTCATTGTGAGTTAATCATAAACTCTTCTGTTTTCACTGGAGCAGGGCTGGTTGTTCCTTCTACTGACTGGCACGGGTGCCTGCTGCAGATACCAGGATTGTTCTGTTGTTGGCATGACAGGCAAGGAGACAACTTTTTCCCTTTTTATCTCCACAGCACTTCACAGAGTTCCTGGATGAGTTCTCACCAGATGTCCTAGGCCAGCTCTTGAACGATCCCTTCTTGTCTGAGAAGAATGAAGTGATGGAGGTGGAACTGTCTCCAGCATCCCCAGCGCCACTCATCCAGGCAGAACACAGCTACTCCCTGTGTGGGGATTCCCGGCCCCAGTCACCACTGACCCACATCTCGACTGATGACAACTTTAATGAAGGTAATACTGCTGTGTGCAAAATCAGTGTTGATCTACTTGTCATTGTTTGCTTGCCATGATGATGGAGTAATGGAATGTTCCTGGTGGGGTAGTGGTGCGCTAAAGGTGCATATGAATCTTCTGTGCTAATTAAAATATCTACAATGAAGTTACAGATGGGATTGGTTTGATTTCAGTCTGCAGGCATTGTGAATCAAGCAATTGGTTCATAGAGAGCGAAATTGTGCTCAGCAGAAATTACTAACTTTGCACTGTATTGCATTAAAACCAAGGGTTCATCCAAAAGAAATGAGAGAAGATCCAGAAAGAGACTTGTTTCTATGTATCTGAATATTTGGTTGTTTAAGATAAATGGAGACCAATAAATCAAGTGAGTCAAATGAAGACCACCTTGACGTTTGGGTGCTGTACAACGTAATGTGTAAGGAAAGGGTGCGATGGAGTTTCAGTCTTCAGGAGAAGAGGCAGAGGGGAAGTCTTATTGTGGTCTGCAGCTCTCTCATGCATGGATGCAGAGGAGGCAGATCTGGACTCCTCTCAGAGATGCACAGCGATAGCACAAGAAGTAATGATACAGTTTGCAAGAAGGGAAATTCGACTTGGATGTTAAGAAAACCTTTTTCACTGTAAGCATGTCAAACACTTGAACATAGATGATGTCATCATCTATGGAGGTATTCAAAGTTGAGGAAGAAAAAGCCCTGAGCAACCTTACCTGAGTTGCCTGCGCTTTGAGCAAGGGGCTGATCTCTAGAGGTCCCTTCTAACTGACGTCACTTCAGGTTTATTAAAAAAAGTGCAAACAAAAAAACCTCTTTAAACTATAGTTATGTTCAGTAATGGAACTTCCTAGTATCCCAAAATGAAAATCAGCTCCTTTTATTTGTGTTTTTTAAATGTATGTGTATAGGAATGAAACTTCATCTGTCTTGGTCTTTAAACCTGTCTTGTGAAGTCCTGTTTCTTTTTTATTTCTTCTTTTTTTTACTTCTGAGAAAAGAAGTGGGAAATAGCGTTACACAGGATACAAGGAACACCACCAGCATTTTTTAGCAGCCATGTTTAATTCAGCAGTTATAAACATCTGGAGGGGAAAAAGGGAAATGCAGGAATGGTGGGAGGACAGGATCCAACCTGCTTGTTCTGGTGTGTAAATGCCTACTAGCAAAAAGGGAGTTCAAAAGCTAGTGCTGGTGGAGAAGCAAGGCCATGAATAACTGGCAACTCTTAGACTGACTTTCACTCCTAATAATGTTTGTGTGTTCAGCATTATCTTCACAGTGAAATGAAGTAGAGTACTAAACCACTTTGTAATAAAAGAGAGAGATTAGTACTTACGTCTAAGCATTAACAAGCAAAGTTGTTTAAGAAGATCCACTAAGACACCAGTTTTCATACAGTGACAGTTCTGTAGTCCAGAACGCTCTCTTAAAACAAGGTGTGGCCTGTTAGAGATTTCACAAATTTGGCTGCATTTCACTGAGGACGATACATAAAACCTGCAAGAAGGCTTTTTGAAGTGAGATGAGGTTTTTAAAAATCATTTGGAAACATTGTCTGCATAAAGCCTTGCCTTTCTATATATCCAAACTTGTTTATATGAATATCTTTAAATAAATGCTCAAAGGAAATGACAGATATTTTTTACTGTGACAGGAGAAGAAGCACAAGAAACTTCATAAAGCAAACTTCCCTAGAAGTTAATAGAAAGAAGCTCCAAACTAGGCTAAATGTGAGGGGAGTTTCCTTTGGGAAAAATCCTTAAGAAATTCATGCTGCTGAGACTACTGGGTAATTAGTAGAGCTCTGGTCAAATGATATTTTAAAAAGCCAAGAAACGTTAACAAGTGAGTTTAAAAATAGAAAATGAATGGAAAGCATTTCATCTTCTGCTCATTCTGCAGTGTTTCATAAGAGAGGAGGAGGAGGTGGAGGAGTTGTTCCTGATGTTTGGGATTTTATTTAATCTTTACCCTGGAATCACTCTCACGACCTCTCCTGACTCTGAAAAAGGGAGAGGGAGATTTTGCAGGTGGCAGTACTGCAGGACTTGGTGCTGAAGATTGAGACCATCTGCACTGTTAGATGGTGGAGGTACATAGTGCTCTTGGCAGCTCTGGTGAAATCCAGTTCCCTTGGCAAAGGGGCTAGTGTAAAGAATAGACAAAAAAGTTACCTTTTCCAAATAACTACCCTACTGGGCAGGCTGCTGAACTCTTGCTGCAGTTGAAGTCAAAAATGTGATATTTCTTCTTACAAGTCTCTTTTTAGACCTTTTGTGATTGTCCTAGCAGTGAGCATTGGTGTCCTGTTCCCCAGAGCATGCAACAGTGCTAACCCTTCTTGTCAGTGGAGTTTATGGACAGACAAAGAGGAGAGAAGAGAATGGCAAGAGGAAGGAGGAGGTGTTCTAGAGCTAGGCTACTTAGCCTGTCTGACTAGATAATACATACTTGAAAAAGGAATCAGTTATGGTCCTTACTGGGATTCATTCCAGTAGGCGTTCTGTTAACATGACCTGGAGCTGCTAGCTCCTTTCCACAAAGGTAACTTCTTAAGTGCAGTGTGCTTGCGTATATTTAGATGCCAGCTGGCTTACAGTGTGTCTGTTCTAACTCAGTGCATTTTAATTATGTGAGGCCAATCTGTTGCTCAGCCCTTGGGTGCCACCTGAGAGCTGCAAGTAACTGTGGAGCCCCATACTGGTCCAGCCTTCAGGTAGGATAGAAGTAAGATGTCCCCACAGAGGGTGATGGGTGGTTGGATTGGTTTTGTTCCGCATGGATCTGGTGTCCTTGCCTGCCTGTCTTTAAAAATACTCTTTAAATATGAAGTTTGTTTCCATGGCAATGGGTGCACTGCAGATAGCAGTGGTACATTCACAGCCCAGCCAAGGGAGCAGCACTTTGGGGTAGCTGGAGCAGCGTCCTGATGGGAAATCTTGCCTGAAGAGTTTAAAAGCAGCAACAACAACAGTGCTGGAAGTGTAAAGCCAGGCAAGTGTGTCAGATCTGGGTTCAACTCTTTTGAGAAGTCTTGTTGACTACAAAGTAAATGTGAAAGTGAATGTGAATAATCCATAAGATCAGGATCCCAACACCAGTTTTTCCTAAGTTATTTATTCCAATTTCACTGTATTTAGATTATTTCTGTAGATTTATGTGGAAGACCTTTTCTGAACACTAGCAGGTTGTTAATAATGTGCACTCTCTGAAAGCATCAGTCCCTACATCTTCAGTTTATGAATGCACTGACAAGTGTAACCACTTTAAAGCAGATGTGTGCAAGATATCTGGTATGTATTTTTTTATCCTTCCCAAGAATCTATTATATTCAATTTTGCATAAACTTTTAAGACTAGAGATATTTGAGAGAGGTTTATAGGTTTGGGCTGCTTGCTTGCAGCTGGCTACCTGTACACTTGTGTTTGCTGGAGCTGGAGAATAAGGATCCGGGAAGGGATCCATGTCTTGCCGTGAGAAAGGAGGCTGCATTGCAGGTACTGAGGAGCTATACTGGTTCTGCCACTCCTGTCAGAGAAGGTTTCTGCTTTCTGTTTGTAAACTATGGGTTTTAAGAGACAACTGCAGTGCAGCTGCAAAGAAGTATGGCGGGTTGTTGTGAAGTGGAAAAAACTTCTTGGGAAGATATCAGGAAGCTGGGAGAGGAGGCAGAAGATAAGGCTGACTGATAAGGGAGACTTCTTGGTCCTGTTAGGGATTTTAGGACACAGGTTTGCTTGACAGCCGTAAATGGTTAGGAAAGAAAATCTTTGCTTTCTATTACAGTTGGTACATGTTTCTCCACTCTTCCTGTCTCTGCATCCCTTTGGAAGGGAAGGCTGTAGTCAGCAAGCAGCAAGGGAAGCCAGGAGTTTCAGCAGACACACTGGTTAGCCTTCTGCGTGACTTGTGGTACAAGTGTGGGGTCCATCCCCTCTCTCTCAGCCCTTGCCTTGTGTGTTGTAGGTGCAAACTTCTTGAAACAGCAGCTGCCCCTTGTTTTGAATGTGTGAGGTCGGTAGGTAAAAACCTACAAGCAGGGGCTGCAGCAGCTGCATGGGGCTTTTCATCCTTTGGGATCAACTGCAGCAAGTGGACAGTGTCTCAAGGTTGGCATGTGTTTGGGTTTTATGTTTGTTTTTCACTTGGTGAGCCTCACGGGTGAGAGGTTGGGCAGCCAACTACTCGTTTGGATGGTTTTTCTCTTGAAATTGTGGTCAGATGGCTGGGTGCCCTCCTTTCCCAGTCCCCTGAGGGCTCTGTTTCTGAGGCTTGTCTTGGTCTTCACCTGCCCTCCTGTTCATGCTTTCCTTCCCAGGAATGCTTTGAAGTTGCTCTTGGATTTGAAGCAGCTTGCCTTGGCTTAAAGTTTGACAGTGATTGCTGCAGAAATGGAATGTTTCTCTTTTATGTTTGCTTGCACCAAAACTCAGGCTCTCCCCAGAATATAACCTGTATTGTTACTGGGCTTTTAAAATTATTATTGCTGAGGTTATATTTCCCTTCAGTGCACTTTTGAAGCCTAAGTTTCCATTTAAGCTTCATCTCCATTTCCCTGCATGTTTTAGGAAAGGGGAGGGAACCCACAAAATTGTTTCCACTTCTCCAGTGCAGATAGCTCCACAATGACAAATCCAGTCCTTATCCTACACAGTGCTTTGTACAGGGAAATGCTTCTTTATGTACAGAGTCCGCATGCAGTAATCCAAGTCACATGCTATCATTTTGCATAGAGGCACCTGTGGGCTCAAGGCTCAAGTTTGTCTTCATACATTTTATATGCATACACATGCATAATATGTATGTGTATATATGTATAACTCATCATATTTATTATATGTATAATAGGTTTTATTTATAGAATATAATACATAAATACAGGTGATATTCATATGTACTGTCTTATTTCTGTCTATTTTTCTTCCACTACCAAATCAGTTTACATTGTTTGCATCTCATTGAACTTCTCTGCTCTATGTTGAAAAAAAAAAAATCTTG